GGGTTCAAGTCCCGGTTCGGGCGTTAGAGCCTCTTTTTTTGTCGAGTGCTACGTTTTGCTGTTGAGTTCTTGCAAGGCACCTGGGCAGCGACGCTGCAAGGCACCAAGTAAAAAGACAAGCTTGCTACAGCCAGGTTGTAGTCGTGGCCGTACCCTCCAGTTTCTGGACTGCCTCCTAGTTCCTAACATTAGAACGAGGTCCGAACCAGATCCTAACCAGGTCCGAACTCATTCCTAACGAGATCAAAGAATTTCGAACAAGGTCCAAACACTGATCCGAACACAGGTACAAATCATCCAAACAGTTTAGGTCACGTGATGCATGACGCAAGAGTAGGCGCGGTTATCGCTTAGTGGCGGTCATTTTTTCCTTCCGCATCAACAACACAAAACACGGGGAAAAGGTTTGGAAACATGCTAATATTTATAGCAGTTAGCGTCTAAAGTGATACATTTCATGCCCATAGACAGCTGTGTTGTGAGGAGAAATACGGTTCAATACTCGGTGTAGCAGCTAACTTAACGTTAACTTACATACTAGCACTGTGTGGTGGCACTGTTGGGGATATTGGTGATATGGCAGAATAAGAAGACCAGTAATAACGTATTTATTTGTTTATTTGTCGTATAAACTATAAAAACGCCAGTTTTTCTGAAAAAGCCTTGAAATGTGAAATAATTGTGCCAAGTTTCATTCATCCCAAACAAATGTGTCCAGATCTATTAATTTATTATATAGTACCCTTTCAATTATATATAGTACCCTTTAAAACATATATTTTCAATTTGCTTCTCAACAATTATAAAACAGTAATGTAAAGCATACATACACACATATATACATACATGTATACAAATGTATGTATTTATGTATTTGACGCTATCTGAAATTAGAGCACTCAGAGAACTGCATGAATCAAATTTGTTCCTGAGCAATTAGCTCTTTATCTTTTTCCTAGTTCTTTTATATAATAATCACTGGTTGACAACAGCAGTTCTCCCATTCTATTTTTAGTAAAGCAAGTTCTTCGTTGCAGGAAAAAGCAAGCCATTTCTTCTTTGCAATATGCAGCAATCAGGGGCATGACTAGGCCCTAAATTTTTGCCCAGCCCCCCTAAAAATTGTGTGTGTGTTTGTGTGTTCATCTGAGCCCATTGGTCTGTCACTGCTCGTCAATGTCAGAATATTTGAGATGACCAATCAAATCAAAGTAGGCTGGCTTTACATTCATAGACGCTGAGCGCGAATTTTAGCAGCACGACTCGACGCTAGGGGTGTAACGATTCACTCGTTTTCTCGATGCATCGATTATAAATCCTGGCGATGCATATGCATCGATCCTGAAACATGTATTTTGAATCGTGAATCGTTTATTTACGTGAATAATCGATTTAAAAGGCTAAGAATCGAATTAATCACGATTTTATAGCGATTCAGTGGTTTAAAATATATAAACACAACCTGTTCCTGGTACAAGCTGCCTCACGCATTGGCCGTCATACGACATCCGCATTTGATTGGTTTCAGGCGCTCACACACCCCTGATTTCTCACGCTGAAGCCCGGTCGGTCAAATGCCTGAAAGATGAGTTTATCTTTCTACCTGTTGAGCTACTCATGTCGTGATCAGCTTGTATTACCGCAAATTAGTAAAAATCTCCCGGAATCTAGAGCGAGCGTGCATACGAGACAGAGGTTGTGCTCCAAACCGCGTATCGCGCGTTCACACACGGCTGCACGCACTCGGCAGAGAGGGAAAGCGAGCGAGAGACCACCTTGCGTGTACGGAGAGTCCATGTAATAAATGAATAAAAGCGTTTTATTTCATAGTGCCCACGCAATGGCATGGCAGCTTTATCAATGGCTTGAGCGGTTTGCCTCAAAACTATTGCTTTCTCGACAGAGAGCTCAGCTGGAGATCGAGCTTAAACATGGACTGCTCAAAAATCTGTAGTTAACGTTATGAAAGCATGAGAGCTATGGGACCGAGCGCGAGCAAAATCCAGTGAAAAGATGATTTCCACTGAGAGGACGCAAAATGAAACTAATGAAAACGTCTCCATTAATTTGTGCATGTAGTCATTTAATGCAATACTTTAAAAGCCTTTTTCAAAATATTTGCTACTTGCAAATGCTAATTTGTAGGCCATTGAATTTTTTTTTTAATAATAATATATTCATTAAAATTAAAAACAAACATGAACTAACATTAACAATGGACAAAATCCCCACTATCTGACCCCCGAAGGCCGCTGTGTAGGCTAATTCAAACCCAGACAAAGACCCATTGGGTGAAGCATTGAAATAATACTATAATGCATATAAAAAATTAAGAATCGAATCGAATTAATCGAATCGCATCGAATTTGGATGTGAATCGCATCGAATCGAATCGTTCTGAATTTGCAAAAATCGTTCATGAATCGAAAACCTATGAATCGTGAATCGAATCGATTCGCTGTCTACCCAAAGATTCACAGCCCTACTCGACGCATGTCGAATGACAAAAAATAATTAGGAAAACTAATCTAGTTTTGTCTAATTTCACCCTTTTGAACTGAAATTAGCCAAAAAAGCAAGAGGACTCCAAGGCACTCTCAAGTAAAGTTAAAAAGCCTTTATTACTATGGCTTGGTCGAATCAACCATCTCAAAAACTCCAACGCGTTTCGGCTACATGCCTTCTTCTGGGAGTTACACAGATCTCAAACCAACAGTTTTTTTTTATAAACCCACAGTCCACCAATCAGAAATCTCCATCTGTCAATAGTATACTGACATAGTTTTAAAGCTATTTCTTATCCCTTTTGTCTAAATTTAACCCCCAAACCTCCACCTCAAATGTAGGACCTCTTTGATTATAAAGCCCTGTCTACAGCCTATCGAATTAATTTTGAGCCAATAAAAATGAACGTAACTTTTCAAGAAACGAATGAAAATATAAATTGAAACTGAATAAAATATCTTTGAAACTGAAAAAGAATGAACCGCAAGCAATTTTTTTGACTTTGTTTTTAATACACTACATGTTTTGCTAACTATTCCTCATATTTCGTTTACTGATCTACACTTACAAATGCGCTTCCAGAGTTTTCATTTACGCTTCTGAAGTTTTCGTTTACACTCCCTGAGTTTGCGTTCGCTGTTCTGACACAAATCTCTCGTGGGGGCGGGGCTAGTAGCAGTCTATTCTCATTGGCTACTGAGTTTTTGATTGACAGCTTCTTGACCTGGAAGTGAAGACGTCAGTGAGTGTTGTGATTACACGTTTGGATGTGAGCGTCTGTAAGCGTAGCTTTCTATTTCATTTAGGTGATATTAAGTTTATTTCTTTATTTATTTACTGCTACACTATATTGTTGATATGATTTCTTATAGAAGGAATAGTACAGACAAATGATATAATTTGTCATCATCGTCGATATCAGAATACTGGATAGCATAGGCTACTCGTGGTAAGTCTGATTGTTTTTATTATTTTTATTAATTAATACTAAACTAATACTAATTATAATACAGTTCTTGCTTTTTCAGGTGGAGAGGCATATTAGAGCTCAGTGAGAGCCCATAACATTATACAGCAGTGTTGTCTTGATTTAATTGGTAAGTTGTTAGCCCAATCATTACATGTCTTGTTTATCTAACGTTACATACGGTTACAGTCTTCGATTAGATCATATTTGCTTCAATTAGATCATATTTCCCCTCTGCCACCCCAAACAACATTGTGCTAGAGTACTGTACAGTATCTGTAGTGTAGCCTACAGTACAAAATGTACTGTATCAGACAATGACCGATGCCATTGGACCAGAGCCCTGTCAATCACTGCCCAGTTCAACTTTGGCAATGTAAAGCCAATTGCTGATTAATTTGTGATGCAGAGTTTTTAAAAGAAGAGAGAGAGTACTTGACCATTTTCCACGTCTCCATTCATAATATGTAAACACTCATTTGTTTTGAACTATAACTCTGGGCGCAATATTTATTCTGCAAAAGGCAACAAAATGCTTTTTCTGTATCCATATTTTAGTAATAATTATGTTAAAAAAAAACAACATTTTTTAGAAAAATTTTGAATTTTTAATAGTCTTTAATAATTTTTATATATATATATATATATATATATATATATATATATATATATATATATATATATATATATCCAAATTCAAAACCTAATACATGCAAGTAATTATGACTGAAAAAATCCAGCAACTAGGGAGTAGACGCTACACCGCCATGGATAAATGTTTATTGGGCTATAGAGCCATCTACTGGTTATACAATAGTATTACAGATGATAAATGGTGTGTGAGTCAGGTAAACATTTGGTACTGTAAAATCCCTTAAAACATTTATATAATTTGTTTGAAATAATTATTTTAAGTCTGCAAATGGTTACTGCATGTGGGAGTTCAAAGCAGTTTGTATTGTTAGATTATAATATATTTCCTTTCTCATTTTCCAGGGATTTGAGCAACTTTTCCACAAACAAAATTCTGATGCTGACACAGAGGATGGAGTGATAATACCAGAGATCAGCGTCTCCATCAGACAATAATGTTACTTTGTTCAGACATATCACCTTTGAATGACTGGGATCCTTATCTTCAGACACCTGTTGTATTTTATTTTAATATTATAAAATAGCAAATATTTTAATTTCTTTGGAGCTCTAGATTAAAACAAACACAGTACACAAGAGGTTGCAGTTTATTCTTATTAGTCTCTGCTGATCATGGATTAGCATACCAACAGCATATGAATGGAATAGTTCATCCAAAAATAAAATTCTCACTTATTTTACTCACCCTCATGCTGTCCCAGATGCATTTTACTTTCTTTCTACAGATAAATACGAATTAAGATTTTAAGGAAAGTAATCCATCTCTGCAAGCCCTAAAGATGCTTTAAAAACCACACACAGTGACCGTGATGTCCATGTGACCTCAGTGGATGAATCAATACTGAAGTGAAACAATAGAATAAAAAAAAAAAAATACTAATAATGTAAACTGTTTTAACTATTAAAAATAATTTCCGACCAACTGCCATACATGGGTACAATCCACTTGTGTTATGTGGACTCACAGAGATGTATTATTTCATTAAAAATCTTTGTGATTATACATTTTATTATCTACATTATGAGAATACTGTGCATTACATGTATAGTATGCAGTTAATGTTTTGTGGATTCTGGTCTTTCCTGTCATAACTGCATCCAAGACTTTCACTTGGATACTTGTGTATATGCTGTAGTGACAATAAAGAATGAATGATTAAAAAAATACCAACAAAAATATTCTTTGTGTGAAATATTTAATGAAATGCCCTTTGAGGTCTGTATCATCTGACAGCAACCCACGATTGTAATTTTCATATAGTTTAAATTCCTCTTATTTAAGTGATCATACATGATCATTTGATGGTGTAAATGCATATGGTAACAATGAGAAATTTGATGGCCATGGTTGCCAACCTTGATTACCTGGTTGAAGTGAAACTTTCTTGACTGCTGAATATATCACACACGTATACTAGTAGGCTATTCTCTTGTAATAGCACAACCTATTCAGAGCCTAACATGCAAACGAATCATCAAGAATAAACAAATATTCCTCCTAAAACATTGGACAAAATATTTTAAGTAGTCATATACAGTGGGCCTACTTTGATGTACAATTACACCTGAATAGACTGATCTCTTGTGAACCTAAAAGCTTCTGTTGACAAAGTAATCGCAGCAGAAGGTAAATACAGATAAAATTAAAAAACAACCATAACTTAATATCACTAAAATTAAATAGAAAGCTGCGCTTACAGACGCTCACATCCACACGTGTAAACACAACTCTGACGTCTTCACTTCCAGGTCAAGAAGCTGTCAATCAAAAACTCAGTAGCCAATGAGAATAGACTGCTACTAGCCCCGCCCCCACGAGAGATTTGTGTCAGAACAGCGAACGCAAACTCAGGGAGTGTAAACGAAAACTTCAGAAGCGTAAATGAAAACTCTGGAAGCGCATTTGTAAGTGTAGATCAGTAAACGAAATATGAGGAATAGTTAGCAAAACATGTAGTGTATTAAAAACAAAGTCAAAAAAATTGCTTGCGGTTCATTCTTTTTCAGTTTCAAAGATATTTTATTCAGTTTCAATTTATATTTTCATTCGTTTCTTGAAAAGTTACGTTCATTTTTATTGACTCAATATTAATTCCATAACAGCCCTGCATGAGGCATCAGAATCAGAATCAGAATCAGAAAGAGCTGTATCCCAAGTGTGCTTGCACACACAATGAATTTGTTTTGGTGCTGATGTTTCCAGTGTAAATATACAAATATGTGACAAGGCATAAGATCAATAATGAATTTGTAGCCTTTAATGTGAATTAATTTTATACACTAGTTACCTTTCCTAGTAGTTTTCAGTAAACGAATTTGTCTGAGAAAATGATTCATAGGCAAAATCAACCAGTTGACCCTTTACTTTCTTCATTGTCAGACAAAAATGAAAAGTCAAAGCTCAACTTTAGGAGGGGAAGAGACAGGGCAAGAGAAAAACAAAGAGAAAAAGAGTGTGATGATGAGAAGAGAAAAATAATCAGCTGCCCACTGACATGGTTTTATCCCCAAAAAATTGGCATTCAAAAAATCTTAAAATGCACATAATAGTTCAGAGAATTCAAAATTTTCTCGGGGAAACCCCGAACATTGCTGTAAATTATTTATGACTGTTGAAGCTTGGTCACCCAATCCTGTTCACTTTTAGCACACTGCAATTTTTTTTTTTCTCAGTACAAACTTTATCTACAATAGAATGCTTTTTCTTACTTTGTCTTAAGGGATAATGAGATACAAATTTTTAGACGTCTTCAGATTTAAGATATAATATATTAAGCATGTGCATTTATATTATTCTTTATCAATTAAGATAACATGTACGCTGCTATTCTTAACAGTAAACAACTGATTAACCTTAATCAGTACCGATGATAACCTTATCATCAAACTTGTTAACCTTAACAAGTACACTGCTATTCTTAACAGTACATATAACAGGCAACTGATTAACCTTAATCAGTACCAATGATAACTGTGCTTGACTTTAAACTTTGGTTTAAACAAGGACTTTTATTTTGATACTTATTTTTGAGTTTTCCTTAGTTTTCCTATGGTTTCCTGTTTAAAAGAGGAAGTAGGCTATATTTCTTCTATGCTTGAGTTGTGCAAGGTGCTCCATGTGGTTGCAGGCATTCCGCTTCATCTTGCCTACCAAAGCCCTTTGCAATGCAATATCTGTAAGTGACTGTTTGATTTTGTTTGTTAAGCATTATGTGTACTTTATTGTTGTGCTATGTAATGTAGCATTTAAGGGGGACATATCATGCAAAATCCACTTTTTTAGCCCTTAAATGCATTTTGTATATTTGGAGTGTTTATAAGTACAGAAAAGATGAAATTATTCTCTTCAGGTGATTCGTTTATATCTTTATATTCTGTTTTGGTCATATTTTTCAACCTGTTCAGATTTTTCTGTTTTCTATGACGTTTTTTGAGCAAGTGCGTCACCGTATTTGCAGCAGAACTGCCAAATAAGGACATTGACTACCGGCCCAACACTTCGAGCAATCCGCCATTATTATTTCTCACTCTGATTTTGTAGTCCGAGGCCGAGCTCAATGATGCAGAAGGTACTAGAGGGCAAGTCAAAATGTTCAGTTCTTGGATGTAGTGACCTGAAGCACTTCAAGGATTCCCACTTCAACAACCTTCGCCATTATAAAGAATGGTTTGCCGATCGACTTTGTCTGAATGAGAGGTAAATCACTTCTATCTTTGGAGACGAAGAACAGAGCATTTCGATAAGCTGTAAATGTTGTTAATAAAAATAAAGTACTTTACTTTCTTAAAACACATGGTGGTCCTGGTTTAGCAGTACCTTTGTCTTTCTTTGTTTTTGTTTTGAAGTAACGTTACACGTCTGCAGGATTATTGTTCTTGAGTTTCATCAATGGTCATTTAGCTGCTGTGTTTTCTGATGCTTTTCTAAACGCATCATATTATCAGTACAGATTTTTTGTGGTAAGATTAGACCGTAGTCATTTATCTTGTCAGTGTGCTTGGTTTAACAAGCGAAATAGTCGAGTTTCACTAATAACACAAAACAGTTAACTCGCATACCAATATATCCATATGAAGAGGTTGTTCTGCAGGTTCGTCGTCGTCTTTATCAACTCGCTCGCTCTGGCTCGAATATGTAAGGCTTGATGGACAAGTCTTCTGTTGTTGACATTTTATTAATGTGTGAATAAAAATGTTCTTTGAAGGTATCGTATATAATCGTATATCTCTAATCAAACTACAATAATGGCCGAACGGGGGAGTTGAACCGACCGTGAACTCATCGACCTGGGCCCGTATCCCTTCTGAGAATCCTTTCAGAGAGCTCCTAACTTAACCTAAAAATTCCTTGCCATGAGTTTTAGTTTAGAAGTGATTCCAGAACATTTTCAGTGAACTCTGAGCAAGGAATGGATGGAAAATCCTATCTTAGTGAGAAGGTGTGGTTGACCCCGTTGCTAGGTATGAGTCATCATTTCAAAAGCCGTGATTGGTTGATCCTACAAGTTTGATGAAAATGAACTTTTGGTGATGATGAGCAAAGGATGTACCCTCAAATCAATAAACATAATTATACACTCTAATAATCTTATGCAGAATGTAATTGTAAATAATATTTCACATTCAAGAAATTATCTGGAAAATGAATAGTAAGCTGTAGGGGTTATAGCCTAACATTAGAATCTAAAATTTGTGAAAACTTAAGCTCATTACTCCCTGTTCAAATAATGATTCGCGTCTTATTTGCTCATATAAATATCCTAGCTGGCATATTTTGTACTTTCACTCCCATATAGACCCCATTGCGAACAAGATGGCCTATCTCAAGGGAATGTCTTTAATGAAGTAGAAATTGCAACGTTACAACTCAGTGTTGTCTTAACGAGGGTAACACGGCTCAGCTTTTATCAATGTCTGTGATTGCTGGCTGGTCTATTTCTGAAGGCTTGTTAACAAATATCCAACAAACAGAAAATGGGGAAAAAAAGGAAAAAAAGAAATTTTGTGCAGCTGCTTAGGGGAACTCCTAAGCCACTAAAAGTCCTCGTCCCTGCTCTTAGCAGATCTCGCCTTAGGAGCCCTTTCAAGAGCTAGGTATCTTGAGGAATAGCTTTTATATTAACTGGGATTTTTGTGTCACTTTTAGGGGAAATTCTAAGAAAACGTCATGACTCTGAGAATTTTCTTAGAATTTGGCTGCTAGGAGCCACTTTTTGCACAAAAATTCTTTAGCGATACGGGCCCTGGAGAGCGGGCGGGGTATGACGCATCTCCTTTTTATTTAAAGGGGCCGCTTTGAAACGGGTCGCTCAAAGACGCACATCAGAAAAGGGGCTTGTGGAGCTATAATAATGAGGAATTCAGACCCAAGCATTGCAGTTATGTTTTATATAGACTACAACGGTATGATTTATATGTAAAAATGAATGATTTAAAAGCATGATAGGTACCCTTTAATTTTGACATGTTTGTTACCTTTCTACTCAAGTTTACAAAGTATTAATGCTGTTGATATACAACTGTATTGTTGTTGGTTATTTGCTTTGTGTGTTTGAGTGTGCTCATTTTGATGATTTAGTGAATTTGATGTATTTTGTGAAATTCATGTTTGTGTATTTTCTCTTCCTTGTAGTTTCACACTTTTCATGATTAAACTTCCTAAATTGCACCTTCGTGGAGTTTATTATGGAATTGTTTAGCGACTGGATAGCTGGATTGATTAAAACAGTGAGGCCAGTGACAGTGAAAAGACAAGCAGCGAATTGGAAAAATGGATGGACTGCCCGTCTAACAACTGCATCTATCAGAGAGATAAAGGAATATCTCTGTTTGTAAGCCTGCACAAAGATCATGTCTTCAAGAGTGACATATCTT